TAGCTTTAGTTTGGTGACGAGTACAGTATGTCTGAGCTCTATAAAGCGTATCAATGGACCACCCAAGCCAACACAAACTAAAGACAACACAAAGTAGGGAGGTCTGAAGAACTCTCGTCTCTATTTTTACACAGTTTACTAATGTATACAATTATTCAGACACTTAGGCTGTAGCCTGGTCACTCTGGCTCTAGTCTCCCAAGGTCAGCTCAGAGACCCAGCTGTGTTTGTTACAGCACATCACCTCATATCTGTCTCTATCTCATTCTCCTCGCAGCATAGACAATATTTTTCCACTACTTTAATTGAAATCTAGGTCAGAGCTGTCTTTGGACCCTAACAGTCTCTCTATATGGTTCCATAAAAGATATTCTATGAAAATATTACAATGATTGTGCTATGAGAAATCTCTAAACCTATTGGTTATTAGATAAGATAAGATAAGAATTCCTTTATTCGTCCTACAGTGGGGAAATTTCGATGTTGCAGTGCACATATAGGACAGTGGTAAGAGCACACAGGGCGCACACACAATATATACAAATAAGTAGTAGCTACAGTATGTTTCTTAGCTAACATAACTAGCTGTAGATGCTGAAAATGCTTCAATACCAGTCAAAATATATATATGGAGTAGGAGTGCAGTTATACACTGTACAGTTAAATAGTGCAGGATAATAAGTAGATAAGTAAAGTGACATTGTTCTGTGACATTCTGAAGTTGCAGTATTGCACATTGCACATAATTTAAGAATTTACTTATTTACAGATGAATGAAATTTACAGGCTCAGCAGTTCTTATTGTACAGTCTGACAGCAGCAGGAAGGAAAGACCTACGGAACCTCTCCTTCACACAGCGAGGGTGAATTAGTCTGTCACTGAAGCTGCTCTCTAGAGCAGAGAGAGTGTCCTGCAGGGGGTGACAGTCATGGTCCAGCATAGATATTAGTTTGCTCAGGACCCTCCTGTCCCCCACCTGCTGCACTGTGTCCAGGGAACAACTCAGCACTGAGCTGGACTTCCTGATGACCTTGTCCAGCTTCTTCCTGTCCCTCTCTGTGATGCTGCTGCTCCAGCAGACCACACCGTACAAGAGGCTGATGCCACCACAGAGTCATAGCAAGTCTTCAGGAGTGGCCCCTGTACTCCAAAAGACCTGAGCCTCCTCAGCAGGTAGAGCCGGCTCTGGCCCTTCTTGAAGAGGGCGTCAGTGTTATGAGTCCAGTCCAGTTTGTGGTTAAGATGAACACCCAGGTACTTGTAAGAGTCCACTCTCTCAATGTCCTTTCCCTAGATATTCACTGCAGCTGGCGCGGCAGAGCGACGTCTGCGGAAATCCACCACCATCTCCTTGCTCTTCCCCGCGTTGATGAGGAGGTGGTTCCGCTGACACCAGTCCACAAAGTCCTGTATTACTCCTCTGTATTCTGCGTCATCGTCCTCGGAGCTGAGTCCGATGATGGCAGAGTCGTCGGAGAACTTCTGGAGGACACAACCGTCCGTGTTGTGTCTGAAGTACGGAGTGTAGAGGGTGAAGAGGAACGGCACAAGGACAGTTCCCTGGGGGCCCCCCACACTGCAGGTCATGACCTCAGACACAAAGTCCCTGGTTCTCACAAACTGGGGTCTGTCTGTGAGGTAGTCCAGGATCCACTGGGACAGGTCGTAGTCCACACCGGCTGTCTCCAGCTTGTCCCTGAGAAGCCGCGGCTGGATGGAAGGCGCTGGAGATATATGTATCAAATATATTGCATGTTAATTGTTTTCAGTTGTCGGTGAAAGTGTACACACCCAGGCAGAAATTTATTTTTTAACCATATATCAGAGATTAAGAAGGATAACGCAAAAACGTTGTTTCACTCATGGTAAGTGATTGTGTGAAGCCAGTTCACATTATTAATATCTTTTTCAGACTCAACAAAAAGGACAGTGGTGATGATCCAGGACGCTCAACATTGAACAAGATTTATGGACATTTATCAACACTTATGGACATTGGTCAACTCTCCGTATGGACCAATACCTATTCAACGGTTTTGTTAACTCCTCTGAGATGACTACAGTTGTGATTTAGGGCTTTTTAGGGCAGTTAGGATTCAGCAGCTTTTTACCATCTAAAAAACATTGCCAGGATCAAAAACATAGTGTCTAAAGCAGACCTGGAGATTCTTATCCATGCATTTGTCTCCAGTAGGTTAGACTACTGCAATGGCCTGCTCACAGGTCTGTCCAAACAGGCTGTAAAACAGCTGCAGTACATTCAAAATGCAGCAGCTCGAGTCCTGACTAGAACCAGGAAGTACGACCACATTAGTCCAGTCCTCAGGTCTCTGCACTGGCTTCCTGTGGCTCAGAGAATAGACTTTAAAACAGCTCTGCTTGTGTACAAGTCTCTCCATAGCCTCGCACCAAAATATATTAGTGACATGTTAGTCCCATATGAACCAGCCCGGACTCTGAGGAGCACAGGGACTGGACTCCTGTTAGTGCCCAGAGTCAGAACTAAACATGGGGAGGCTGCTTTTCAGATTCATGCTGCTAAAATCTGGAACAGTCTTCCTAAAGATGTGAGACAGGCCTCCTCTCTGACAATGTTTAAAACCAGGTTAAAGACAGTTCTGTTTAACTGTGCATACAACTGAGGGATTTTATATTTTTATCTTTCTTTTTAATGTTCTGTGATAATTTATGATTTTAATGCTTTCTTGTTTTGTTCAGCACTTTGAATTGCCTTGTGTATGAATTGTGCTATATAAATAAACTTTCCTTGCCTTGCCTTGCCTTGCTATACAAGAATACATTTAATTGAATTGAATTGAAAGGAAATTGGTCCATAAAAAAGAAGAAATAGGAATATGGCACTCAATAGCATATAGTGCCACTTTAACATCTATGACAGCTTAGAGTCTTGAGGAAGTTGAAGTTCTTTATACTCTCTCATTGTAAGTTGCCAGTTTGTATTGGTAAAAGCATCCAGTTTGGGGAAATTCCTGGGCCACCTTGCATGAACTCATGAACTGCATATTTGAGATATTTCCCGATCTGATGAATTATGTTATAATTGGAAAATGAAAACGTTTGATTTGATATTGTATGCCGTCACACAACCACTCTGGCTGGGTATGTAAAATGGTCTTGAGAAGTGGTTGATTAAGCTGAATAGTGCAAGAACCCTCACTACACCTGCACTTCCTCCCAATAAAAGTTATCCTAAACATGGATAAACAGTAACAATTTGAAGTTTGAATATTCTAAATACTTTTTACTTATAAAATAGACATTTGAAAAGTTTGTATAATTTGTCCAGCTCTCTCTCAGGCCTTTGAAGTGCCAGGCCCCCCCACACAGAGGGGTTGGAGGGGGTGCTTCAGGATTAAAGGCCGTGTTACAGCAGCCCAGCTGTTTGCACTGCCAGCCCAACCCCAGAGCAACACCTAGACCAGCAAGAGTCAATATTGTGTGGGTGTGTGTGTGTGTGTGCTGGTGGCTGATAGACCCTATGAACCCTAGAGACTTGAGCTTGTGGAGCTGCCACTTAATCATTCTCATGGTTCAGTAAATACTTGTAAATGCATGCACTGTGTGAGCTTTATCACAGAGTTAGACACAACATTGAATCATTGACTCTTGTGTTACAAAAGTAACGTAATTATTTTAATGTATTGATTTTTGCTGCAACGCAGTAGTGAAAGGCATTCCCAAAATAACCTGAGTAATATTTTACTTGGTCAGTAACGTGTGTTTCGTTGCATTTCAACCCAAAATTAAATTGTGTGGGGGTTGTTTATACAGACATGTTTGATGAAGGGCCTCAGCCCAAGTTTTTCCATTCTGGTAGAAGATGGCTGAGGCGGAAGCACAAGCAGGCGAACAACAGAACAATTTTAAGATGGGCATACTCAGTTTGTTGGAGACAAAGATGTGCGGAACATAAAAGTTAAGTGCGCTTTATGTTTGTGACATAAAGCTCTATCAACCTCACGCAACAGCAGTAGTTACATTTAGTATGTATATATATTTGGTAAAAGTTACTTAAAAGTGATGCAGTAGTAGTGTAATTCTCTACAATTCAGACACACTATTGTGTGTATACATGTGGATAATGTATTACGTTTTTGAAGTAACTCACCCAACACTGCCTGTAACATGGAAAAGGAAAGGGTTGATTCTTCACCCATGTGTGGTCGGTCCTAGGTTTGCCATTTCAACCTACAGATAATGCTTTATGGTCATCTCATTTTTCTCTGGTCCGAAAAGATATAATTGACAGGAAAAATGTTGAGTGGCACAGCGATGAAGAGGATGGAGACATTCTGTGACATGGCTGTATTCCAACACCACCTTTGTTAAAACAGTATCTTAAGAATACAGTAGGAAGTTTACTACAACATAAGTAGACCACTTCTAGAAATGTATTTCAGGGAGCTGAAGTGAAATATACAGTACATGTTGAAGTTTTAGCTGTTTCGATGTCTGCGATGGTTATGGTCATTGTTTGAAGAATGCAGCTCTCACTGTCAACTCTAACAGCAGCCGGTCCATCTTCATTATGGCCATTCCCACATACTGGTCATGTGATTTACAGCCCCGGGCCCCAGCGCCAGAGATATAGGGCAAATTCCAGACCAAGATCAGCCAAGTTCCACACAGGCAGATGGAGTCTGGAATCTGGAGGAACCGGTAAATTTAGAAGAGACAAAAGAGGACAGTACAAACTGAAGATAAGAGAGACTTCACTTTAGAACATCAATATGTATAATAAAGATAGATACTTTATTTATCCAATGAGAGAAATTTAAAGTCAGTCGCAGAGACACAAACTGCACATATAAAAGCATATTCAAATGTAAGGAAAAAAAAAACATTTATCCAATCACATGCAACCCCCTTCAGGAAAACTGTGCATGTCTGTTGTGTTTTTATGCAATGCTGATTGAGTGAGGAATTCAAAGACACAGATCATATACAGTAGACATTTTCAGTCAATATTGCTGAGAACATGGAGCAAAACATGGAAAGTATGTGCAAATTAAAACAGAGGATGTCAGAGGATGTGAGCTAACAAGCAGGAGCAATTCAATCCGGAGAGACTCGAACAGGCAAGACGTAGTATTAGTAAGTAAGTAAGTAAGTAAGTTTTATTTATATACCGCCTTCCACAGACCAGAGTCACAAAGCGGTTTTACAATTGTTATTTTTTTGGGCATTTGTCTCTCACTCCACACACAAATGGGAATTGTATGTTGATTGGCAGGTAATCTGACACTGCATGATAAAGACCAATGACACTAAAGACAATATTTTCAAGATTACATGTATTGTGCTGAACAGAATGTGGTTGGGATTTGTCGCTTACACCCCGGCAGAGCACTGCACGATTGCAGAAGGGGAAAGAGATTATGAGATGAAATCCCGCGGGGCCTAGACCCTGGTGGTGGTAGCTATGGGAGAAGGATGAAGGAGCTGGCCTAGAACAAGGCGGAGATGGGGAGGAGGAGGGTTGCGGCATGAATGACGCTGCTGCTTGGATGGAGCTTCTGCATGATGTGAAGTTGATGCGGGAAGTGCCTGATTGCTGCAGGTGAGGATTTGCGTGAGGCGCTTTGTAGCTGAATTTACGCTTAAGCTTCATTACAAGTGTCCAAAAATATGTATGCACCTGACGACTGAGTTCCAGTTATCCTCACTTCTCTGTCTGGAGAGGGAGAAGGCCAATGATGATGTAGTCGCAGACGACCATGTGGAACAGGGCTAATGACAATGATTACATGATGATGTGGAGTGTTGAATAAGTGGCTGATGTCACTGGTCGACAAAGAAGATGTGCACGTGCAAACCTGTACGACAGACACCATGAACTCAGGTTCAAATTAACAATATAAATGATGTAGAGTTGGAGGAAGTTGTCTTTGACTTTATCTGCATTGCAGACGGATAGATTTCCTTTCCTTCCACAATAAAAAACAGTTAATGTCCTAATAATACGGTTATGACCTAAGATGAGACTAATAAACGTTAAACAAATCATGATGCTTCAAACGAGGCTTCTTATTTTCTTTACAGAGCTATTGGTACATTTAATATGGTAAAGTATATGGTATTGTACATAATTTATAAGTATTTCTGCAACAACTCCCTTTGGTCCAGTTTTGGGTCAATCCAAACACACCTGTTTCATACCCTTTAATACCAAAGAGAACCAAAAAATTATTTTAAAAAGTATCATCTGTTAAAAAAAACCTCTATACATAATGTCCAGAGCCCATTTCCATAACCTCCAAAATGGCCCTAATAATTGTTTTATATTAGCACACATTAGCAGCTATATGAAGGTGGAGGAACATTCAGTCCCTTGTTTTTTTACTGAATCAAACCCACAACCTCCTGAATTAGTCCAAGGGGATCCTAATCTTCACACCCAGGTGTGACACTCCATATGAAACTGCAGGGAGCTCATTGGAAGGCGATGAAGTCAAAAAGCCTTTTTGCTTGTGCTCAAATAGAGACACTGTACAGACAGATTTGTAGGTTAGAAATAACAGAACGTTCTAAAAAAAAAAAAAACAATTAATTAACTTTCTGGACATAGTTTGTTTAGTCTTTTAACAAGAAAATATGTTTTCACTGTCAACTCATTATAGTGAATTTGGACCTAGCCTGGTCTTACTATACCATCGTACTAATTTCATGAAATGATAATTGACCAGAGACACGGATGGCTTAAGCCAGGCTAATTTGGACCCATGACACAGATGTTGTTAACTTGTGATTGCATCATGTTGAAATATAGAATGCAATGATTAAGTATGGCTTTGGTGTATGGGAATGCAAATTTCATTTATATTTGTGCTATTCTTTCTATTATAACCAGAAACCATCTTTCCCTTTGTATTTTACTCATGGCTGTGTTACCAACAGAAAGAAAGAGTTCAAGTTTTTAAGTTGCTCTGCTTGATGAGTTTTATTCAGATTCCAGAAGACTGAAGTGAGTCTACTAATTAAAGAAACAGTAGAATGTGGAATAGTTTTATCATAAATTGAATGCAAATAATATCCAAGTAAATCCAGAACCAGACATGTTTTCCATGTTTCACAAGAATGAACTATCCACGTAAGGATGATGCAATATCTGCTGCCCTCTGCTGGTCGAATGACTGCCACTGTTTTATTTTTAATAACTATTATTCTTACTCGGGATCTAAACGAGGCTGTGTATTTCCTCTTTATTAAAACCATAATTAAATACCACTTGAAAGTGAAAGGAATTACTATGCATGACGCCAGGATTGTTTCCATAGTGATTAACAATAACACAAGAATCTGTTTTGAATTAAATTAAAATTCCCAAAATTTAATGCAAAAACCAAGAAGCACAATACCCTGAACAGACTGCTTTAGGGTCATGCTACAAACAGAACTTTTAAAATATAAACTATCATCCAGACCTGAGGCCTTTTATTAGCTCAAGCATGACTCAGATGTCTCAGCAAAATGGCCAAAGAGTAAACAATACAATACATACTATTTATGAAATACTGTGTGTTTTTTGGCAGTGAGCTTTCTGTCTTAAAGGCACACCGTGTAACTCTTGGCCACTAGGGGCGCTAGACCTGCAACTTTCACGTTTAGCGCCCCTAGTGGCCACAAGCAACTCAGCACTGTCGCAAAAGTCAACAAACAGTCAGCCGGTGTCTTTTGAGTGTGTATTCAGACAGCATGCACTGGTGTGTGTGTTCAAACTGTAGAGACATGCCTACAGATATTGAGAGACTCTGCTGTGGTCAGCCTCCAGACCGCTGCATTAGTAATCTACCACACATGGACTTCTATATCCTGGATGAGGGAGTTCTGCGTCTAGCTCGTGCTGCGTGGAATGACATCTTTGCAGTCGATGACATCCAGGAACCAGGTGAACAGCAGCGCTCATACAGACATGCAGCTTACAGCACGATCCCTTTCGCGTTTCCTCTTTTTAGCCTCCTCCGAAGGTTTAAAATTTTTCCTTGCCTCAGCCATGACCAGGAGTCGAGCAGGTGAAAAATGAGTAGCAAAAGCCTTAGCTCCATGAGTATATCAGCGCCTGTAGCCGTAAAGCAAGTGTTTCTTCCAAGTCACGTGACCTGGTGGCAGACGGTCCGTCTGCTCGAAAGTTACATGGGCGGTATTTCAAGAGGGCAGCCCCGCTCGGAGCATTGCAAGTGTCAAGCGCTGTATATTGGCCCAAGTATTCATATAAAATAACTCATATGTGTCAACTCTTTAGGTCACAAAGTCCGCGGTGTGCCTTTAATTTTCTTGTTGAGACACTGGTTCCACTCATTATGAGGATTGTCTTGGGCACGGTCAGTTGTGCAAACAATTTGGCACCTGGGTTTAGAAAACCTTATTAAACTAAGCAACTATAACACTTACTTCACTTTTTCCACTGCTACACTTGAGAAGTTACCAAAGCACACAGTAATTAAATGTGAGTGCAGAAAATACTGTGTGCGTAACTCTGCAAATAAATATAATTATCCTTTGAAAAAAGCAAATGGCCATGAACCTTTAAAACCACATCACGTGATACTGTGAATTTGAATATATTCAGAAACCATCAGTTTGTTACTGTGGGTGTTGGTTGTAAAAAAAAAAAAAAAACATATTTAATCATATAAAGAAAAAAGACAAGAGGAAAAGAAATGTTGATCTAATCTATTTAAACAGCCCTTTTGTGGAATGTCCTGCAGGCTGCCTGTCTCTCTCGTGGGTGGATATGGCATTTAAAAGCAGCATCAGGTGAGACTCGGATCTTATCAGCTTGTGGGTGACATGCTAATACAAAAGCAGGTTTCTAAAGATTCATATATATGCAAAATGTAGTCACCTCAAACGCAGGTGCTTCATGTGTTTCAGCACTTATCGTACTTCAATGTGCTTTGCCAGTGTTTCAGGAAGTTGGAGTCACATTTCCATAACCGTTAAGTAACACTCTGATGAAGAAAAGCTATAACTATATGGAGACCGCTAGAATGCTGTGACAATTAAAACGATTGGAAAAAGGGTATATTGTTTGTTACAATACTTATGGGGTAGGTCCACCTTTTGCTTGGGGATATTTAGATGTTGAGGTTTTTGCAATGCAATAATCTCTGCGACAACAAGCGGTCAGAAAAGTGCAGAGCAAAGATAATTAAAACCTGGATCTAATTAGTTGCTTTCTCGTATTGATTCTATTACATGCATGCCTTTTTCTGTCACAAACATTCACTTGTAAACGCACTCAAGATCGGGACAGCCTATTATGGAACACTTTTTTCCTTTTACGACAATAACATACATATACTATTTTTTGTATTATAGATTTTGTTCAGTGACGCGCCGTTTTCGCCAATGATTGTTTAAAAGTAGAGCAAAGGGAAGTGTTGGGAGATTATTATCACAGGTATGACAGTAATCTAGTTTGTACAACGAGCGCCTCTTCACGTGTGCCCATGTGACAGCACCAGGAGCACGCCTACAGGACCGCGCTTTTTTTGCATAGAATTGTGTAGAATGTTCTGTAGAAGATAAACCTGGCGTCGGGAGCTGCTGCAAGTGCTTGTGTAGTCTGGAGCAAGTGCGTGTGTAGTCTGGAGCGAGTGCTTGTGTAGTCTGGAGCAAGTGCGTGTGTAGTCTGGAGCAAGTGCGTGTGTAGTCTGGAGCAAGTGCGTGTGTCTAGAGCAAGTGCGTGTGTAGTCTGGAGCAAGTGCGTGTGTCTGGAGCAAGTGCGTGTGTAGTCTGGAGCAAGTGCGTGTGTAATCTGGAGCAAGTGCGTGTGTCTGGAGCAAGTGGGTGTGTAGTCTGGAGCGAGTGCGTGTGTAGTCTGGAGAAAGAGCGCGCCTGGTGTTGTCCTCTGTTTTGCGTCAGAAGCGCTCTCCTCCTCTTCCTCACAGCAGCGCACATCTCTGGGGCTCGCTGCTCAGGGTCTGTTGCATCGTACGGGACTCACTTCACTCAAAGGAAGGCGTGAGTTGTTTTGACGCTATCATGGACTAAAGAATAATTTACCGTACGAATTCTCTTTCTTGTGATTTTATCCCCGTTTTGTTTACTGTAGGGATGAGTGAGAGAATGTGGGAACGTTTTTGATTTAGTTACTATTGTTGTGGCTATTTTATATAGTTTCTCACCCTCTACTTATTGCACATGTAGTTTTTTAAATTGTTACATTTTCATGATCTGGTTCATGCTGTACTTCGTCACTAGACCCACGTTGAAAACAAACAAACAAAAAGGGTTACGATTACATTTATTTTAATCACTGCACATTATCTTGTTTTAACAAGGCAATTTACAGTGAACAAACCGTCCAAGATAGTCCAAATGCACTTGAATCAAGATTAATTTATAAACGTAAATACAGCAATAATTAAAGCATTTTCAATATTCTTTTTAGTTTTGACGGCACAACATGTCCAGATGGCAGAGGGTTAAAATGCATGTCAATATTGTCAATTATCTACTTCTAAATCTCTGTCTAAATTCATACTCATTGAACCACAATATACAATAATCATATCGTGATTATTATAGGATGGATGTGTTGAATAGTTGGATCTGGCAGGAGGCCCTCTGGCTTCCTCCAGGGAACCACTGGGAGGACCTCAAGTTGGATCCGGAGCAGGGTTACAATCCTCGCCCTCGGGACCTCATCTCCTCTGTGCCTCTGGCACTAGGCTTCATCGCCTGCAGATACGTCTTTGAACGGTGAGGGAAACTTTGTTTTGTGTGGTCAAAACACCACACAAAACAAAAAGAAAATTATTCTTGTGTTTTTAAATGCAAGACCAATGTATGTATTTGTTGTTGTTGTTGTTGTACTTTCTAGTTGTGAGTGTCACCTGAAGTCTCTAGACACAGGAGACTTGTTTGTCTCGGACTCAGTTGTGCTTGCTAACGTTGCTGTTGCAGCATTTGGTAAATTAATGTCAGGAATGAACCAGACAGAGACGGATCGTGGTGCGCCAAACTCTGGAAGTTTATTTAAGTTTCTCTCAAGTTCCAGTGGTTTCAATTGTTTCTTTCTCTCAGACAGAATAAAGGCAGTACACAGTTTATATAGTCATTGTCACATCACACATCGAAAGACATACGTGTCACACAGAGACAGTGCACATCATAGTCAAAACATGGATGCACCATCAGAAGAGTCCTCGTATAGTCCTTGTCCTGCACGTAGGCCAAACATGAACTTGAAAGAATAATTTACATGTCTATAGGTTCGGACAGCAGACAGGTGTGTCTTATGGTACAGTCTTGGTAACCAGACACTGTCCCAATGGGTCATGGAGCTGTGACGTTTCATTGTCTGAATCTTGCACATTTCAGTGTAATTATCTGGCAGATAAAGTTACACACGACAGAATGCACGTGTTGTACACTTGTTTATCATTACTGCATCTTCATGCTCCGTCTGTCTCCATATCACATTTCACAATAACACAAACAGAGATCAGGTTCTTTTGGTCACCTAACACCACATCACTAAAGACCCATGGGAGTGGGATCTGGGCCATGTGTTGAAGGACCCTCAAAAATGTTCAAACATCGACCCTTACATAAATAGTACACTTTTGGGCCAACAAGAATTCTGTGAGACAGAAAGGTGTTTGCTGACTGAAAACATTGAGAAGATCTGATGTTGGGGGCAGTGTTTCCTAACCGGGGTATTACAGGGGCTTTCCAATAATCATCATTAACTTGTGAGCACAGAATGTAAAAGTTTAAACCAAAGCGCAAAGATAAATAATACAGTCTGCAACAACAAAGCTCCTTTCACTTTGGTCCAGCTTCAATTCTGTCCAAGAATGTACTAATTTCAACTGATCAGTTACTCAATACAACGGTTGGACATCTTAGTTTAACAGTAAAGGCTACAATAAGTTGTACCCCATCAACTTTTCACTCTTTGAGTAATTTTTTGTGGCACGCGGTCAGCGCACAACACAGCAAGGAGGTCCTGGGTCTTTCTGTGAGGAGTTTGCATGTTCGCTCTGTATCTGCTCTTTGTTTGTGAAATGTGCTCTACAAATAAAGATTACTTACTTTTGTAGTTCTTTGGTAGCATCTCAAATGTCTTGTCTTTCAGGGTGGTCGCCATCCCATTAAGCAGGATTTCAGGTGTAAAGGACCAGGTTCGAATGCAGGTTTTCTCTAGTCCACAGCTAGAGGTGTACTACAAACACAACAGTCGACAACCGTCACATGTGAGTGCTCTCTCATCTTTACTCCTTTGTCTCTTCGTCTCCAAAGCATCAAAAGGAATTGATACAATCGTCAAAAATCAATCCTGATTCTACCAATCGATTTCACACACCTCACATTTCTAACATGGGTTCACAGACGTGGCCTAGACAAGCCACACTGAAAAAAAATCAACCGTATCGTTGACAAAAACGGACAAAACCAGGGAGTTGTCCCTTGTATGGTATTTATTCATATTTATATTTTCTGTTTATTTAACTCAGTAAAATTCTGAAACAAACAATGAGCACTGCTCCACGGGGCAACAATGTGCCAACACTGCTTTTGAAATGAATAAGTAAATATTCACATTATTGTGGATGTTGTATTTTTTTCCTTATAGTATAGCAAGTAGATCATAAGAGGATAAATCAGGAACATTTTGAATATTGGCTATCTGATACTATTTTGCAGATTCATAAAATGCCTGTAAAAAGCTAAAGTGTAACTAAAGCTGTGTTTCCGGTGGTGCAAGTGCAGACATAAAGAGGATTCCCACAGTTACTGACTTTCAATGATACTCAAGTTAAAACTGATGAAGCTTCACTGCTCTGTCTGTTTGAAAATGCAATGTGTTAGGTAACTATTAGGTTCAGATTGATAGCATCTCTACTCTTCAAAAAGACTTCATGTTCTTTTTCAGAATGAAATCTTCAACTTATCTAAGCAGACTGGACTATCTCCAAGGAAAATACAGACGTGGTTCAGAAACAGAAGGAATCAGGACCGACCCACAAACACAAAGAAGTTCTGTGAGGCGACGTAAGTGTTTTCAATCAACAACTCCATTATCTACAACTCCATTATCTATTTGTGTTCTTGTTTTGAAAGTTGGCGTTTCGTATTCTATCTTTTTGCATTCGTTGCTGGCCTCAACTATTTAATGAAAGTAAGCCAAGAAAAATTCTATCGCACTGTAACAGAACATATCTTATCCAGCCCTGTTTTCTCTTTAGACTCCCTGGTTTTGGGATCAGAGAGAATTCTGGAGCGGTTACCCCAATCAGGTGAGTTTACAGGCAGACTGTAACTCGGAAATTATAGAATGTTGTTCAAAAGATAATATATTTATTAAATTGAAATCTAAAACCAATCTATGAAATAGACTCAATAGTGAGTGACGTATGTAAATTCTTTGTTGATTATTATGGCTTCAAGTCCATTTTCTCATTTTGAAAGCTGTAATTTAACACATTTTATATTATATATTCTAACACATGTTATAACATGACATTAGAACTAATACAGTTTTATTGTATTCTACAATTCAATCTAATCTGTCATATTATATTTCACATTGAAAGCTGCATTACAGAAGTAAGTGGACTTTTAAAAGATTCAATTCAATTCAATTTTGAATTGAGAATATTATAAAATACACTTAAGATTCCAAAAGTAATAACGGTGCAAAAAATAAATAAATACAGTTCCTCCAGTGTGCAAGCTGCCAAACGTGATTACTGACTTAGAAGCATAATGCAAGCACTCTGAACCCTATCAGTTGTGCAGTTTCTGTCTAGACTGTGGCGTTAAGAGAAGAAGGTGGTGTGTGCTCTGCCCCGCACGCTTCATACATTTCCTCATGAGTTTGTGTCAGACTACAGTTGAACAGGTGAAGATAGTTTGGTGCCTGAAAGGCGGCATTCCATCAGGGAAAACAGCCATGACTCTGTCGGTCATGGCTGTAAAAAAAAAAAACCATTTGACTTCTTGCATTTCAGGACACTCCTCCTACAAGCCCAGTGAAAATATGATCTGCTGATAAAAAAAACAATAATTACCTCCTGTCTCACTGCTACCATAGTATTTCCTGTTGCTGTCGAGGAGCCAATAAACCTGTTCCAAAGGCCCATAAACATGGGTATATACTACTGCTTTTTACAGTCTGGGCTTCCCTATACTTAACTTCCTATATTTATATTTCATGTTACGGAAGTAATTTTGTCATAAATTATTATTCAATGTTTTTATTTTCTGGTAGAAATTCATGAACAAAAATAATTTGGTTCTGTATGGACTGAACCAAAACTGGACATAAGGCTGTATATAATAATAATAATAATACATCAAACTTGTGTCAGGATTCAGCAGACAGAGACGGATCGTGGTGCGCCAAACTCTGGAAGTTTATTTAAGTTTCTCTCAAGTTCCACTGGTTTACTCTGTTTCTTTCTCTCAGACAGAATAAAGGCAGTACACAGTTTATATAGTCATTGTCACGTCACACATTGAAAGACATACGTGTCACAAAGAGACAGTCAAATCATAGTCATAACATGGAGTCCTTGTAGAGTCCTTATAGAGTCCTGCACGTAGGCCATATTGCTATCTAATACTAACACCCTCCCCTTTGATCACTAAATCACATGTGATCACTCAATTTGATCAATCAATAAAGTGGAAAAAGAAAAAAAAAAAAATTCAAAAAAAAAAAAAACTTTTTAAAAATTATTAAAACTCATAATCATCAAATCAATATCAGTGGATTTTATCCTCTATCCTGGGAAAAAAACAACAAACAAAAACAAATAAAAAATAAAAACAAACAAACACTATTGGACACACAAGAACTCAGCAGATTCAGTCAAAACACAGACAAAAACGAGCTGAGTCTCAAATTAGAAGCTAATTTAACTTTTATTACTCTATACTTTTATTCTAATGCTAATTGTTTACATACACTTCACTCACTGTATTATTTTCACTCATTCTAATCTTAGACTGTGTACTTTACTTTCATTATCACTATAGTTTAAAACTATTCTAATCTATTTACAAATATGTTTGCATATTTGCTTCTATTGAGCCATATTCTTAAACATACATTTTATTCTAATAAATCTCTCTGTGGTTTTATACTCTCATTATCAGTGGCTTTGTTAGTGGGATTTTGCTCTATGTCTATTCTACATTCTCAGGAATAAAACTGTGAACACAGTAAGGCAAATGGTTAATATGAACATTATTATGGCGGTCAGTTTTCCAAATACATTTGTTGAACCAGGAAGTGCTGTCACTTCCTCCTCTCAGGCAGTTTGGGATGATTGTACATCATTAATCAAATTAGTATAATCCTTACAAGAGCTAATCTATTTGAGCAGGTTTGGGGTCAGTTATTCTACAATGGTGTTTGTGCTGGAAACTTCTCAATATCTAAATATCTACTATTTTGTTTTTGTGCTATACCCAAATGCATCAAAATGCTTTTAAATGCTTTTGAATCTCTGTTGTTTCTAATCTATCTCATTGATCTAGGCATTAATCTAGGCTACACTCATGAACTTTTGTATTGTCAACATTCACAGATGTTTGAACACAAGTGAATTTGACAAGTATCTAATAAAACTGTACATAAAACTGTAAGTAACTTTATCTACTTTTGAAGTAAATGTTTGTGAAATGGTCCCTTTACCATTTGATATTAGCACTGGCTAAAAATAATTTCTATTTTTGAAAGCATCTATGGTTGATGCATTTATCTAATTCTATTTCTACACTATTGTGACTCCAAAGCTTGGCTGCAGCTTGAGTCAAGGCATATTTCTAGTTTGTGACTTCTATCACTTTTAATGGCTGTAACATAATTCTGATTCTAGTATTTTAGCTGCTCTATCAGAAGGATAACATTGTATGGTACTATTTTAACTCTTACGTGGAAATGTGTTTAAGAAAAACAAAGAAAGGACAATTCTACTTTTTTACTACTATTTAACATCTAATAAAACGCTACAATACTCATACTTTATCATTTTCAAACATTTTAACAGTTGCTCAGTCTCCCAGACTAAAAAGTCAAAGTTTTGTCTGTCAGATGTCTGAATACTTAACATGTATATTGCATTTGGTCACAGGTTCTGGTTGTAGCAATAGCATCGGCAATAGACGTTTTCTCATTGGCTGGTACTTGTTCTGCAAATGGCTGTGTCCAATAGATCATCAGATGTCCAGAAGCTAGGGACAAACAAAAACAAAAGAAAGAATCATGAGTATCTGTCTCATTTAGCACTCATCAATGTATGATTTCAATAATATAAACATCACTCCCCAGTTTTTCTCTCTCAGGTCCTCAGGTCCTCAGGGTCCTCAGATCCTCAGGTCCTCAGGGTCCCCTGAGGGTGAGTCTCAGTCGTCATCAGGTCAGGTCATATTTCGAGAGATGTCATCTTGGACATCAGTAGGGTCCAAGCCATGGTTCTGGTCTCTCCAGATGCACATCAGATCTCCAGATACAGTCTTTTCACTTGAAGCACATCAGGTCATTAGCGATGCACTTCTGGTCAATGGTGCAGTGTCTCAGTTCCTGTACACAGCTTGTTATGCAATAGTTACTTTCTATGGTTAGTCACTTTGATTCTACTTTAACACAATTTCTATTCATGCTGTTGCTTCTGTCCCTCAGACAAAAGCAAGCGCAGTTTACTTCTCTAATTTGTGTTTTTATCAGATCTAATTCTAATCAATGTAATTACTTCACACAGTACAAAATCAACAAATCAAAAGTGTCAGGACAGAGGTCAATTAGTCCATGACAATATAGAATTCAAATGAACATTTCTGGTCTCAAAAAATACTGATTCAACTAAAGATTCAAGTGATAGACAATTAAAAATGTGTTTACATTGGAGTAAACTTTTAAAATGCTTTTTCTCATGTTCTGCTTTTTCATGTATCTATATGTAAATGTGAATGTGTGAGTGTATGAATGTATGTGTGTGTGTGTGTGTGTGTGTGTAGGGTGTGAATTTTGGGGTTGTGTCTCCAGACTTCTCGAACCACCTGTAGGTCTCAAAGGTCACACTGTGGTGATGTAAACAAGCAAAGTGGGCACACTTCCAGATTGCAAAACAACTCACCCACCACTGCCTACAGAAAACCCCACTTTGTGGCCCCGGTCTCACTGCCACCTACGACCATCGGTCTGTAGTGGGGGAGGGGCACACGGAGGTAGCTATGTCGCCTTTACGCTCTGCGGCTGGTTGGATGGTGTCTACTCTGGGCCACTGTTCTGATCCCTCAGTGTCCACTCCTGCTGTCCAGTGGCCCTGTACAGTGTGTGCCCTTGGTCCTGGAACACAACCTTGTAGTCAAATTAAAAACAACAGATATGTGAATGAGATTGTTTTTCTCTCTAAAGTCAAAACAATTTTGGAGCGCTCTTGGCTTTCCAAGCGCTATGTAAATAAAGATTACTTATTATCTTACTAATGATGACACTTTTAAGACCAGAAACTCTCTCTTAATAAAAAACAAGACTCAAATCTCAAAAATCTTCAAACTTTAAAATATGTATTATGTACTTTTGTACTGTGTGTTTAATTATCTATGCATTCTTGGGTTTCACTTTATGGACTTTCCCCTTTACACTTGAACATTTATCTCAGCATATATTCTACTAATTTAAAATAATTGCAGCATTTTTCAAATTAAGTCAATATGAATTGGAGCACATTTTAGAGCCAGGCTCCTCTGCTGTGGCATCAGCAGGAGCAACAAGGTCAGGCGTGTAGTCAAAACAAAAACGTCACCACTTGAATGTGAATTGGGTGAATTAGGTACAGTTCAACTTAATAATACTTTTACAGCTAATCCTAATTCCCTCTTTCTTTTTAGACGAAGTCTATAATCAATAATCACTTTTAACACAGATTCTAATTTAAATGTTTGAAAAACGGCTTTTGTAACTAAAATAAAAACATAAAAACAAACACAACTCACAAAAAGTTAAGAAATAAGCAGCAGATTTAAAAGAATGGAATCTAGAAATATGTTAGGTCTAAAAAGAATTGCACAGCTTTAGCACTAATATTTGGATTTCAAAAAACATATAATATTCAAAACTTCTATTCCCTAATGGTGTTTAAAAACGTTTAACTGTGTCATAACACAATGTTCAATGGCAAATTTCGCAAATTTAACGGAATAAAAACTATGAAAAGCCTAAATCCTAAAAGCAGTAGGTTTGCTCTGATTCAGAGCCAGAGTAGCAAAGGAGGGGGCCGTTTCCCTG